AATATTTATTAAGTGACTACTATATCTCTGGTACTATTCTAAGGGATATAAAAAGAACAAATCAAAAAACATTCTGCCCACATAGAACGTAGAGTATCGGTTGCTACCATAGCCTCAATAAGGGAACTAAAACGGGGAACAGCAGGGGAATGGTTTTGGGATTTTGGAGAAAGATCAGGCAATTATGGACAGTTGAGTAGCATGTGAGACATCCAGATAGAAAGGCTGTTGAATGAGAGTCTAGAGCCATGGTTTTCAGTGGGAGCTTTTAGACATTTGTGGTAGAGGTGAGTAATCATAATGGCATTTATTGAGGGAAAGCTAGCAATGCTAGATGTCCCACAATGCATAGATAGCACCGAATGACTGTTTTTTTTTTTTTTTTTTGAGACAGAGTCTCACTCTTTTGCCTGGGCTAGAGTGAGTGCCATGGCGTCATCCTAGCTCACAGCAACCTCAAACTCCTGGGCTCAAGCGATCCTTCTGCCTCAGCCTCCTGAGTAGCTGGGACTACAGGCATGCACCACCATGCCCGGCTAGTTTTTTCTATATATTTTTAGTTGTCCGATTAATTTCTTTCTATTTTTAGTAGAGATGGGGTCTCGCTCTTGCTCAGGCTGGTTTCGAACTCCTGAGCTCAAACAATTCGCCCGCCTCGGCCTCCCAGAGTGCTGGGATTACAGGCATGAGCCACCGCCCCCGGCCCCGAATGACTTTTGAATGTCCCACTGGACACTTAATGTAGGTGAAATTCCTGTATACAATTATCTGAGCCTAGCAACTAATTCCACTTTTCATTAAACACAAAGTACATTCTAACACAATTTTAATATTCCAGGGAGGCAAATACTATGCAAAGTGAATGAAGATTATACCTGTTTTGTTTAGTTATCCACCCTTTCAGAACATCATATCAGCAACAGCAATTCTGCCCTGCTATTTAGGGCTCTGATTGGCATCTGTAGCTATTGAATTTGGGTCAGTGCTTCTCAAATGTTAAGGTGCACGTGAGTGAATCACCTGGAGATCTTGTTTCTTTTTTTTTCTTTTTTAACAATGGAAGAGACTGTTTGGCTAATAATGGAAAGAATCCAGTAGAGAGGGAGAGGCTGATCATACCAGAGAGAGACAAACTAAGAAGTGTAGTTCCTTAGAGGGCAGAAAAGGAGGGTGTCTAGGCACCAGGGAAGGGTGTGGCCTTTGTTGAGAAGAGCTGGTTTTTGGTAAAAGGAGGGAAGGAGGACAGAAGTAGTAGATTTAGAAAGGATGGAAGGAAGTTGAGGAATGTCACATCCCTCATACCTACCCCTCACCCACAGTACAATAGCCACCTTTTTGTCTTCAGCTTCTTTCTATAGAACTGGCCTACAGTTGGGGGAGGGGTGGGAAACGCAGAGTGGAGGCAAGGCCAACCTCTCTACCTCCTAGGGCAAGTGCTTTGGAAAATAATATGCAAGTAAGATATTACTCTTACAACTACTGTTATATTATTATTGTTCCTCTAGGTCAGTGCTGACCAATAGGACTTGCTGTGATGACTGAAATGTTTTACATCAGTGCTGTCCAATATGGTAGCTATGGCTAGTGGCTACCATATGGCTATGTGGCTATGGAGCACTTAAAATGTGCCTCAAGTGGCTGAATTTTAAGCTTTATTGAACGTAGATTAATTTAGATTTAAATAGCTACATGTGGCTAGTGTCAGTAGTACAGATAGTGCAGCTCTGGGTGTTTACTGCCTCTATGTCATTTGGTTCTTCAAAGATGAGCACCTTCTATAGAGGGCAGTGTCATTTGGGACCAAGAATACTGGACTAAGAGTTAGACCAGAGTCCACCTTCAAGTGGAGCAGTGTAGCTGTTTGCTTGTTTCTGTATCCCTAGGGATTGGCCCATAATAGGTTTTCCATAAATATTTGTACAATAAATGAGTGAAATAGGTGTGAATTAGGTGTGATTTCAAAGCATATTGAGCTCCAGAGCATTACAACACCTATTACCTTCCCCTGTTTCTAATAGTGGAAATACTGGAAAGTACCAAAATACCCAACATAGGGGCTTGGTTTAATTAGATGATTCTTAAGATACAACATTATGCAGAAGAATATTTAGTTACACAAAAAGAGTTATATTTAAGGGAAAAAACTAAAACAGAAGGGTATACAATAATCTTACTTTGTAAAAGATATATATTTATATGCATAGAAAAAGGTTAGTTGAACAATAGATACAAATATTAACAGTGATTATGAATACTGGGTGGGATTAGGAGGTGATATTTTTATTCTTTTTTTTAAAAGATCTATTTGATATTAAAAAAACAAAAAAATGAGCAAACACGAATTCATGAACCACCGTTATCACTATTTCTTTCAGTTTCTTTTTTGTTTAATTGTCCAGCAAAATGACAGAAATGATTGGGGGGTATCCATAAGATATTCTAAATGTTCTAAAATTGATTTATGCTGAGGCTGTACCACTCAGTAAAGTTACTAAAAATCATTGTACACTTGAAATGCCTAATTTTATGGTATATAAATATACATCAATTAAATTGTTAAAATGTACTATATATGTGTGTCCTTAAAAAATTAAAAAAGTACAGATCAATCCCCATACCAAATTCCAGGCATAACCAACAGCAATTGGTGTTTAATCTTTTTTGACCTTTTGCTATGAAGAATGCAACATGCATAGTATAGATAGATAATTTTCTGCAACTTTCTTCTTTCTTTGGACATATAATGTGGGACATGAAAAATTTAACAGTAGCTGCTCTGGAAGGTGGAATTGGGGTGGACGGAGTGGAGTTAAGGGAAACAAGGGAGAAGGACACTTGAACCTTTTACTTTCTTTTCTTTTGTATCATTTGCATGTTTTTGTCATGAGTGTTTGGATTTAAAAACCCAGTAAAGATATTGAAATAAACTACTGAATCCTTAACGACACGTATGTAGTTTTATTATTTAAAAAAAATAAAAAATTTTACCATATGCTGGATGCCATGCTTAGTAGTACCTTAGTTGCATTGTCTCATTGAATCCTTATAACAATCCTATGAGGTATGTAATATCATTAGTTTCACTTAACAGATGAGTAAACTTAGACCTAGATTGATTTTCCAAGATCCCACAGCTATGTGCAGAGGACCCGCATGTTTACACTGCAGCATCTCTTCTCCCTCTGACAGACTTACATTCATCCTGCAAAGCCCAGCTTTAATGATCTCATCTCATATGCATGTGTAGTTTTTCCTAATCCACTTAGGCAGAGAGATGACCCTGTCCTCAAGGTGCTTACAGTCCAGGGAAGAGACAGACAGCTAAACAATTACAGTCTAGTACCACAAGAATACATGGTTTAAGAGGACTGTGCAAGCAGAGGGAGTTTAGACCATGTGTCCGAGGCAGCCAAGGATCTCCAGAGAGAATATATTTTGAGCTGATTTATCAATCAGTACTCCTAGGGGTTTTTGAGGAGCATAAAGGTAGGCATAGGTGGTCAGAGGTGGGGAGAGGCTGTAGAAAGGGATTTGGGGTCTAGCTCCTAGTCTCTCAGGAGTGTTACAGACCTGGGCATACTCTGGAAACTACAGTTCTGTAGGGTTAAGTCGACCTGAAGGGAGGGCAAAGTGAAGGGTGTGTATCTTGAAGCTTCAGGCCAGATCACCAAAGCTTTTTCAGTTGAAATTGGGCATTTACACTTTATTCTATGAATGAAGCAGAGCTCTTAAAATATTTGATCCTGGTATGTTAGAAAGATGAGAAGAGGCCCCAAGGAGGCTGTTGTGAGAGGTCCCCGCTCCACGCTCAGGCTCTCTGAGCCCCTCTGCCCTGGCACTGGGTGGTCAGGTCGTTTGTCAGGCTGGAAATTCCCGTAGGGCAGGACTTTGTCTCATTTGCACACAGCACAGGCGCCTCACACGCAGCAGGTACTCAGGAGGGGCTGGCAGAATGCTGGGCACCAAGAAGGTGCTGGCTAGTGACTGTAAAATAAAAGGCGAACCTTTATTTCTTCTCCAGCACCGCCCCCGGTATAGTGCAGGTAGGTGTTCAGCCAAAGTCTGACCCAATCATAAGGAGATCAGAGAGGTCCTGGGCCCAAACTCAATCCCAGGGAGGTTCATTAGGTGTGGGTGAAGAAGAGGTGATTGCAGCAACTTCTGTTCAGGGCTTGCTATGGGTCAGAATTCACACCTATTGTCTTATGTCATCTCCCCAAGAGTTCCTAAGTCGGAATTTTGTTCCAGTTTTCCCGACGAGGAAACCGAAGCTCAGAGTGGTTCTGTAAGTTGGCCAAGGTCACACAGCTGGCGAATGGGGTGAGGGCGGAGGCTGGGGATCTTAACCTTTTAACAACTCAAAGCCTACTGGTCTGCCCCTCCTCCACTGGGGAGCCATTGCGGCGCTTACTCCGTTTGCGTAGCCGCTGAGGATGGGGGTCATCCCACACTGGCGCGCGGGACCCGGAGACGCCGGCTCCTGACAGCAGCCGGGTGCCGCTCCCAGGTTCGGAAGTTACGAAGTTTCCTTGCTTTTCGCTTGCCTCCCAGCGTAGCTGGTCTCCGCTCCCCGGCAGTTACGCCGCTAGCGCAATGGGGCTCAGGTGCTGCAGCGGGCGGGAAGAGGGAGGCGGGGACGGAGTTTACGTAAGCGTCCGCTCGCAGGTGCATGCGGCCGCCGCCAGCGAGTGCTCCCTGCGCGCTCCCAGGTGCGCAGTTGGCGCAGGCGGCGGCGCGGCACGGCGGCGGCGGGCGCTGGCCGGAGCTCTCAGGTGCGGCAGGGCGCGCGTGGAGGGGGCGCGAGGCGAGCGAAGGGGCGGGCTTTCCGTTCCCCAGCAGCAGCGGGGCCCGCCCCCCGGCCCGGCCAATGGGCGCGCTCGGCGGCGTCACGTGCTCTCCACCGCCGCTGCTGCCGCCGCTGAAGCGAAGACCGGAGCCGCGAGCGCCACCAGGGCAGCAGCCGCCGCAGCCGCCGCCGCTGGGCTGAGGAGCCGGAGACGCGGGCGGACGAGGTGGCGGCGGCGGCGGAGCGGGAGCGGGGACCGGGCGCAGGCAGAGCGCGACGGCGCGGGTAGGCTGCGGCGGCGGGGCAAGCGCCTGCGCGGCGGGCCGTCCCGGGCGGGCGGCGGTTAAGGCGGCGGTTGAGGAGGTTGGCGGAGCCGGCCCGGGCCCCGCATTGTTTGTTGTGCGTCCTTAGCAGCAGTGGCGGCGGCGGCCGAGGCAGAGAGCAGGGAGCAATCCCGGCCCGGCGACTCCGGCATTGTGGCCGCCGCGGTGCCCCGGCCTCTTCGGGCAAGGGCAGCCTTCCTCACCTTCGCGGGGTCGGGTCCCGGCCCAGAGCAGGGGAGGGCGTGGGCAGCGTGGGGGGCCGGGTGTGGGAGGTGTGGGTAGGATGGAGGGCTCGGGGCTCGGAGCAGGTGTTGGAGGACATTGCGGGCAGGAGCTGGGGAAGAGGCTTTGGGGGGCAGGTAGAGGTGTGGGCAGATTTGGAGGAGAATGGGAGGCAGAGGGATCCGGCCTAATGGAGGGTGAGGGCCTTGGGGCAGGTTTGGTGGGCCCCTGGTGGGCCAGGGCGAGTGCGAGAGAGACGGAGGACATTCCGGCTGGTGGGGGGACAGTATGTCTGGGGATTCAGGAGGGTGCGAAGGGGGCTGTGGCGAGGGCAGGGGCGAATGGGGTGGGGATGGAGGAAGAAGATTGGGCACTCGAGGCAGGAATGGAGGGAGCTCTGCGTGTGAGGGGCAGGAGTGGGGCAGATACCAGGAAGGCCACCGGAGGCATGTGAAGGGGAATGATGGAGGAGGGGGTGGGGTAGGGGGAGACGTAGGCTGGGCGAACGTGAAAAGGGAGGGAGGGAGGGAAAGAGGGTGTCTGGAGTGATGGTGAGGGAAATGGAGGGTGTTCAGGCAGGAGGTGTGAGTGAGGGTAGGCCCAGAGGCTCCAGGAGACCTGTGAGGGTGTGAGGGAGTGTCTGGCCAGGTGTGTAGGGGAGACAGCAGGGAGGCAGGAGGGGATTGACTTGTGAAGAGAGAATGTCAGGTATCTGGTGCTCTGGGGAGAGGAGTCTGAGGTGGAAGGGGGAGGTTAATTGGAGCAGAGACTGAATTTGAGGGCTTTGGGAGAGAAGTGGGGATGATGGGGTAGGGTGGTGGAGTTGGAGAGGAGAGGGTGTCTGGGCAGGCGGTGTGTGGGGCGTTTAATGGGTAGCAGGGAGAGGTGAGTGAAATGGAGGGTGTTCATGCAGGGGAAGTATGGAGGAGGGTGGGAGCAACACGAGTGGGAACTTTTGGGTTAGGGGGACATTGGAGGGGACAGGTGTGTGTAGCAGAATGGAATGTGTGTGAGGTGGAAGGCAAAAGGGGGCTGAGGGGAGGGAGGAGAGAAATGTTTTTGGTGGCAGGTAAAGTGTGGAGACAAATGGAAGGAAATGTTTCTTGGGAAAGAAATGTGGAGAGAATTTGGGGAGAAGGAGGGAGGTGGAGGGGGTGTGTGGGAAGGAAATCAGTAGAGCGGGCAATGGGATAGGCTGGGAGGGAAGGTGTACAGGTCTAGAGTACAGTATTTGGAGGGGGAGGGAAGCACAGGTTTGCAGAACTGGATTTTGTGCTGTAGGGAGAAGAGAATAGGGAGGGGACAGTGGTAAGGAAGGGGAGAAGACAGGGATATTTTGAGGTAGAGGATGTAGAAGAATGCATAGTATCTATAGTGGGGTAAGGGAAGGGTAAGGTAGGGATGTGTGTGCTTAGAAAAGGAATAGGTAATGGATCGGATTGGGGAGTGGTGGTGGTGGGGAAGTAGGATGCCTAGATTTAGGGCAGGAAATGACTATTTAGGTTGGAGAGAGTTAGGAAAACAGGTTGCTTAAGAGAGTGTGGAAGGTCCAAGGTGCAGGAGTGTGGGGAGAGATTGGAACACTTTTGAGTTTTGAGAGATTAAAGGGGCCAGAATTTTTAAGTCACTGAAAGTAGTAGAAAGGGCAGGCAGAGTAACAGAAGTTGGAAAAAAAACTAAAGGGAGAGGATTAAATTTCAGACTTAGAAGAACTGAAGATTTTGGGAATGGGGTGATGTGAGACTTGTATCCTGGAATGATATTAATGGAAAAGGGAGGACATTAAACCCTGTATCATATCTGAAAGTTCATACTTCTAGGTTCAGAGAGATCATGAAGCCTGATTTTAGTTCCAGAACCCAGTAAATGGGGAAGGGGTAAGAGAGAGCTGAGTGCACACTCCCAGATTTGGAGGAGGTGTGTGGTTGGGTATCAACCTAGCATATTGGTTGATGAGTGGACAGAAGAGCCATGCAGGGTCATGAGGAGTGCACCAAGAGTGAGTGTAAATCGGATTGCAGCAGGTGCAGGGCAGATGTCTTCGTGAAACTGCAAGAGAGCAGGGCCCAGCAGCCAGTAGCATTCAAGGGCCGTGTATAAGAGAGGGAGGAAGGGATACCTTGGTGCAGTGTATCAGATATCCTGGTGCTTTCTGGGTAATGGGGCAGTATTCAGGCAGGGGTGATGTAATATCTGAGTCCCATGCTACAGACAGAAGTAATGTACACTCAGCTCCTAAAAGTGGCAGAAATGGAGGTTTTTGACTCTTTTAACTCTCTTTCAAGGTGTGAATAACTGATATTGGGTTGTTGGCTTTTTCTCCCAAATAGTTCAAGTAAAATTTAGTTGGAGACTTTTGGATTCTCTGGTATTTTGATTTGAGTTGGTGAGTGTAATGTTAGCTTTATTGTGGAAAGACACTTTCAGGGTTAGGTGGACATATGGCTATCAGCTTGCCATACACATGGGAAGTAACCTTTAGGGGTTTGAGCGTAGACATTTCAGTGCAGGTCTCATTCAGTGTTCTATGGCTTATATTAGATTCTTTGGGATTTAGAAGGATTAAGCAAACTGCTTTGAGACTGCTTCAGTAAGCAGGGTTTCCTAGAATTTTGGAAAATGACTTCCCTTTGACAGTTGAAAATTCAGTCTTGTCAGATTTTGCTAAAAAATAAATTTCATCATGTTGCAGAAATAACTTCAATTATCGCTCTGTGGGCTTCATGTAGAGTGTAGTGTGCTACCTAGTATGATTCAAATAAAAGATCTGCTTTTGGTAACTTGGGAGCTTTCTGGGTTGATTAGTTTTTTCTTTTGTCAATGTAGGAAGTATCTTAATGCAGCCATTGTATGTTCAAATAATAAGTTTGAGTGGAAATGGGAATCTTGCCTAAACATAATGAGGGCTGAGCAGAACACCAGTTTGAAGTAATCTGAATCTGTAAATATAAATATTTAAAAAATAAACTGGAAGCTAATGATTTTTAAAATCCAAATTTGAAGTGTGTCATGCAGGCAGCAAAGTAATGCACTGAAGGTGTTGCTGTAAGATTTTATTTTTGGAGGGAAAGGTTTTTAAAGTATAATATGTCTTTGACTGAAACTCTGGGAGTATTTTGAAATTTATATGTGGAATATAATTATAGGGAGCGTGTCTGACCCCTTTTGCTCCTTGCCAGAGAATTTGAGCAGTAAGATATAAGATGAATAGAGTGACCTTTGAAAATTCTCTCCAATATGGCCATTGTTTCCTCCCTGTATTTTTTAAGTCCATTGTGTTAGTTCATTTTATTGATTTGGGGTAAACAGTACTTTCTTGCTCGGCACACTCAATTCTGGCATAATGTTCTGATAATATGTATTGTTCTGTGAAGTTCTGTAGCTTGGGATAATTTGTAGGCACTTTACAATATTATGCTAAGTTTATGAACCAAGGAAAGCAGGTTATTTAGACTTTGCAGACTAAATAATTGGCTTCTGGTTTTATTTTCACTGGTGACTTGCTGGACAAGATACTTAATCCCCTTGTGCTTGTTTCTCCTCTAGAAACCTGACTCTTTATCTACCTCCCGTGAGAATCGAGATGGTTGGTATAAAAAAAGTTTAAGTTACATAGAACTATGTAAATGTGGGGATAGATGTTGTTTCTTCAGTTCCTCCGGTGGTTTTTAGACTGGTCAAATGTTAATTAGTACTTCCTCATTTGCTATTTGGTGATTAATTTGTTGTGAGAAACTTGGGTAAAGATGAAACTTATGTGACTATCAGAGATGTCTGCAAATTGAAGTTTGTTTATTCTTTGCTCTACTGTCCACTTACCTTCCCTGACTTATTCCTGCAGCTGAGTGTTAGCGCTGATTTGAATTCATCACCTGGAGCACAGCTTGTGAGAGACATTCTGAGTTCTAGCTGTAGCCCAAGATTGTTTCGAAGCATGAATTTCCAGAGACAGAATACTTATCCAGCTCAGTGAATTCAATTCTTATATCAGGAATAATAAATAAAATACAGTTTCATATGTATCTTGCAGAAAATTGATTAATTTAGAGTGACTGGAACAGAAAAATAGAGCTGTCCCTTCTGCTAGTGACATTAAGCTTCCTTGTTCCAACTTATTGAATGCTTTTTAAAGTTTTAGTTATGAAGTAATTACCATTTGATATTTCCAAGTCCGTTTGACGGATTATGCTCTAATTGAGGGAGAATGATTTTTAAGCACTTTTTTCATGTTGGGTTTGGTTTACTAGTTGTAAAGAGCCTCCACTTGCTGGTCCTGATTGACACTGCAAAAATGTAAATAGCAAGTTGCTTGGACATTAATTTGCCTTGAGCTTGGTAATACCCAGCTCTCATAGTTTTTCTGTGCTTGCTGATGTACTTTAATAGTTTACTCTCTTACATAACATGTTTGGAAACTGTTACCTGTCTTAGCGCTTTTCTGTTTTCATTTGTATTGCATAGATCCTTTTACTGGAAGATTGGTTGTTTTTCAAAATTTGTTTAGCTATAGAAAAACTATTTCTGACAAGGTAATTATAAGAGCCTTCATAATCCAGTCTAATTTTAGAAGACTGTTTATTGAGAGATGTAAGTTAAATGTCTATGTCAATGAAAACAGAAATAAAGTAATGAGGCCAGATTAATGGTGATATAGATAATCAGATGATTTGGGCCTGTAAGGTGTGTGTTAATGTTTAATCTGGCTTTTAGGTCTCGCATAGTAAGGTGACCACATGACCT